TTTTTCAACTTCTGCTTGGATCGTTCTATCTGTATCTCTGCTTATCGTGCTTCTCACCAAATCCAGGGACGCAGGAGGAAATTTGCTTTGCAAATAAACTGCTGTGGAAGGGTTTCGAGGGGGGGTTATTGTTACTGTTGAGCCGTCGAGGTTGCGGCACATGGAGCCGCAACCTAAATGAAAAGCATTCCTCCCTGAGCCATAACCTGTCCTGCAGCTATTGGCTGCTGTAGTCAATTAGGCGAGAAATACATGACATCAACTGTATATACAGAGGAGGGGAGTGTCAGGGCGGCCTTGGCAAAGCAGCCAGAGTTTGAAGCCAACAGGTGCGCTTGATGGGAATGAACGACGTGTTCTTACAACTTGGAATGAATATAAAAAAGTTCTATGGAAGTGAATTCAGTGATGTGAAAGAACTCCAGGTGAAAGTTGGAAAGACAAAGCAGCTTTTTTTTTTTTTACTTATCAGTGTTCTTCTTGAAGATACATTTAAAAAAAATCTATAAGATTTATCCTCCAGCCAACCAGCTTATCACCTCCTTCTTTAATGACTTTTCCTTGCCATCAATCATTAACAACTAACAAAGTTATAGTAACTCATTCATGTAGAAAATGTTGATCCATTGCTTTAAACAAGCTACTTGCTCCTATTTGCTGTCATGGAGCTTAAGATATATTTTCCCCATCCTTATCTAAAAATAATTAGAAATATGGGAAATATAGTGTTATAAGGATTTAAAATCTGTAAAGTGAACAAAAGTATTAACATAATGTGTGCATCCCATTTAAAATATGCACAATATCTGAAACTCATTCTGCAATAGTTTCTCTTGGCTAAATTCATCCTTCTTTCTTTTTTTCTTTTTTTTTAAAGATTATGCATGCAGCTGAGAGGGTGACAAAGGGTAGTAATGTTGATGTGTATATATATATATATATATATATATATATATATATATATATATATATATATATATATATATATATATATATATACCGGTATATATATATATGTAAATTTATTTTTATTTATTTATTTTTTTTTTGAGAACAGGGAACTGAATCAGCCAGAGGCTGCAAAAGACTTGAGACGAGGTTGGAGGTTCCCCTTGCAGCAGCACAGCAACACTTGATATTCAGTTGAAGCTACAAAGGGATTCTTTAGATAAGAACCTTTATTAGGTTAAGTCACTCCAGAGTCAAACCTTAATTCAACTGACTATGGCTTGGCCTGAAATCAAAAAGTTCTGGAAAATAAGAATGATTTCATATTCAAAGAGCATTCTTTTTGCAGCTCCAGGAAGTTTTGAAAGAGGCTTTCTGAACATGTTAAAGATAGGCAATTTAAAAGTTTCATACTGAAGGATGTATTCTAATAAAATGTACATTAATTAATCACATTATTCCCAACTAAGTTATAGAGCTGGTTATTGCCCTACTTATCCCCCTGACCAAAGTCCCCTAACATCAGCCTCTTCTTAGTGACATCATTGGCAGTTATTTTGAAGGTCTAAGAATAAACCACAAAACTCTTGTTTTTATCATAATATCATATTTTCACTGCCAGTACTTGGAGAGAATCTGCTTCCAAACATCTACAAGTAGCAGGAAATTGGGATCTTTATCATTTAAAGCCACATTCTACTAAGAAACTATGATGAAATCTACTTAATCAGTACATGATGACAACGTAGGTAGTGCAAATGTCAATGTGCACGCACGTTCTGGATCACGTGCAGCCTGTGAGTCTGATGCAACTCAAACAGTCTCCATGCTCATCATGCTGTTTTGTGCCTCTGGGAATGTAAAGGAAGGTTTCATCAGCAACTGCATCCTGAGAGATCACCTGCGTTGCTCCCTGAGTTAACACAACTCACTTTACTGTCTTTGGAAAGATAAGGTAAGGTAATAAGGTAAACATGTCCTGGATTTGCACAGTAGAAAGTAAACAACCGCTGTGGTTTATTAGCACTTTTTCTATGTTTAATTTAGAAATATGATTAGATGAATACGGAAAAAATGGTACAATGCCTATTAAATGTTTCTGGAACAATAAAAGAACCAACATTTACACTGTAGGTAAAATAAGCAGCAATATTAAACTTTTTGATTTGGTTTACCTGTATCAACCAGAATATATATTGATATTAAAGAAGACAACATTTGGCAGAGAACTGGGAGACTGATAAACATTTTCGTTTTATCTTTTGTTTAACTTACAAAGAAATCAAATATTGGTTATGTTAGAATTGAAAAGGTCAAAAAGTGAAAAGAAAAAAAAACATGTTTGAAGACTTGCCTCTAGACACCTTGTGTTGGTAAGCCTTCGGCTCTAATGCTATGGTAACTGGAAATAAGGGAGATGGAAAAAAGTCTCATCTGGGTAAACGAAACCCCTGCCATCCCAATCAAACCCCCCAACCTGCAGGTGGGAAACGTTACCCGCAGGGCCACTGGGACTGATGGAACCACCGACTTGTCTAGAGTAAGCTGTGACAGCCCCTGAGGGACACATAAATGAGACTATGGCTCACGGGTGAAAAAGGGAAAGACATGATGCAAACGCAACAATAAATGGACTCATTTACAGGTTAAAAAAAGTGAGCGGTGAAATACTTTGCGCTCTTGTTAAAATGTCTCACAGGCCATTTAATAGAGAAGAGGGCATAGACATTTGACAATGGGGGAAACACTGTCTGTTTGCAGAGATGGTGGACCTGATTTTAACTTTGCTCAGCCAAAGTCAACCATTAACTACATTAAGATGAGCTCAACAAATGGGCAAACAGCTTTCAAAAGAGTGGACTTTTAGTCTGTGCTGCTATTATTAATGTAAGCAGAGGTAGAGACTTTTGCTTTGCTTTGAAATTGATATAAACATAATTTGAACAGATAAGATTATATTATTGCTTCCAGGTTTGAGTTATGCATTTGTACAGAGCCCAGTTGATTATCATAACCCTAATTAAGATCCTGTGAAGCCAATTTGCTTCAGAAATCATTAACAGCAGTAAGTAAATAAAATTCCATTGTAATACTCTTGGGAAAAGAGAGAGACGGACAGCTGGACTGTAGGGTTCAGAGATTAGTGGAAGAACATTAATGAACAAACTGCATGAAGAAGACCAAGGACACAGCAGCCAGCTCGGAGATAAAGCTGTATAGAAAGGAAAATCATGGTTATGTTATAAAATATAAAATTTCAACAGATGAAACAGAAGGAACCAACCTTATGTTTGCAAACAATGATTACCTGCCAATCAAAACTTCATTGGCTCTCATGCTATGAGTGCTTCAAACTACACACCCCAAACAACACCATTCTTACTGTGAATTATGGTGGCTGCCTCAAGGGATACTATGTTTAACATGAAATGCGGAAACTGATCATAGTTAACTGAATGACGTATGAACCTAAATACAGGATAATCCTGGCAGAAATCATCTTTAAGTAAGAAAACTACCTTAGAAATCTACCACAGTTGATCAAAGTTTATTCATATCTTGGAATGACTCAGTCCTCTGTGGCCAGATTTTAAAAATGTTCACAAATGCTCTACATAGAATCTGATTGATCTTAGGCCTTTTTTTTGTAAATACCTAATGTTATTATTTATGTTATTACAAAATCTTTAAACCTGGTAAAGAAGCCGCAGAAACTTGTAGCAGCAAATGAAGGGATGTTGGACAAAATTTTAAATTTAAAGGAGTGAATAGAAACGTTTGCCACACATTTTCTTTATATCCGTGAATATTGCTTGTGTTTCATTTATTTTTTTTTACATTGCACATTGATGCTCACTTTCTTTTCTTTCCAACTGAAATTCTCTGGTTATTTCAATTTAACCAAAAGCCTATATAGTATCTAATTCTTATGATGACATTCCTGAATTTCTAATATCCAATACTGACTATTGCATATCTCTAGTATAAATAGTAAGAAATGTTATAGTTGGTCCCTTATCTCTTAAAATTACTCATTAACTTTTGTCTGTTGTGAAGGTTTCAGTAATCGTGTGAGGAAATGCGTCCCATCTGTGTGCTTTTACTTATCTTATCAAGGAGCTATATGCTTTATTTGATCATAAAGTGAAGTGTGAGAACTTTAAAGTCACTGAACTGTGAAGCGTTTTCAGAGAACCCACAGAAGCCCTCATTAGGCGTTTATATTAGGCTAATGTCGGAGGGGGGATAGAAAAATATGCGCTTCCGTCAAGTGCAGAGACGTAGCCCGAAAACCTAATAGGGGTGGCCAGTCAATAACCAATGAACATTGAGGGATGGCCGAAAGGCACCAGAACCTCAGGGTCAATCTACACTGTTCCAACAGGAACACGCACAACATCCATATTGTCTAAATAAAGACAAACTCTTACTTTCCTGAAGCCTTTGCTAACACATAGACGCATATATTTAAAAATCAATGTTGTGTAAATAAAAGGTTACTAAGTAGGTAAGGTTACTAAGAATTTTATAGTGGACAAAATTCTTTCAGGTTTGAGTTCTGGGGCGAACATCTCGTATTTCAATTGTCATTACCTACTAATATCTACATTTAATGAATTTTTATGTTATTATTAAAGTAGTTATTTATCTATAATTTAACTGAAGACTCCTAGATGACTTGAAGAGGCACATCATTTTATCTTTAGCCCAAATAATTCAAAATTTTGTTCTGAAAAGAGCATGAATTCTGTATCTATCATCTTTAATGTTTGTATATTAATGTGCATAATTAACCACAGTGTTTCTGTTGTCAAGTAATTGTTAATATATGACAAATTGTAATTTTTAATAAGTTTGAACATTCCCCTTCAGAGTATTACTGCTGCCACAGTCTGTATTAGAGGGGGAAATGGTAGGGGTGGCCACAGGGGTGGCCAATGATTGGCTAAGGGTGGCCATGACCAACCCCGGCCCCCCATCTCTAGCGCCGCCCCTGGAAGTGACCGCGATTCTCTGAAGGATAGAGAAAGTCGAATTTGGGGAAAGCGAAGGGAGGCGTGACAGCAGCAGCAGAGCGCGATCCGTCAGAGAAAAAACATCCACAAGTCTTAACTTCGGTTTATTTGCCAGCTGGCCGCCGGGCATTCAGGATATAAGGCCAATAAAAAACGAGGGAGTCACCAGCGGGAAAACATCCCATGTGAGGAAAACAAGCCCTGGTTTGACTCGGGGTATAACTCCGCCTATTGATCAAAGACCATCCTCCACCCTTTTGTCTTTTCTCCACTTTGTTAACTTCACTAAAAGCCTCGAGGATTCAGGGCCAGCTGGGCCAAATCTTTTAAGCATGCCTCCGTTTTCCATTTGGTGGGATTTTTACGCACTAGAGCTGAACCGCAACAAAAAGCCGATTGGAGATATTTGACCCCCTCTTTATTATCAATATAATTGGACTTTCATGGATTATATGTGGAGATTATTTACCAAAACAGAAAGGTAAGTTTTTTCCCCTCCTTTTACATATAAAACTACAAAATCTGAGTAATAGCAGGAGGATTGCAAAGCATAAAACGAAATCCATTTTTAAAAACAATCTGACAAAAACACAGTTTAAAGTTCTCACCTCCTGACAGCTTACAATGTTTTTTGCATTTTTTGCCACAATAGGTATATAATTTTTTTTATTGATATAATTTAATCGTGGTTCTCTGTGCGCAGCCTGTATGGAAATGAGTCGCACTGTGATCGCAAGTTAATATTCAACTATTTCCATGTTATTTGCGTCCTTCTTATATCAATTGAAGCCGGGCTGTTCGTGCAGGCGGGGACAACGAGGCTGTGTTTACTCATTCCTCAAAACATGCAAATCATCCGGATACCAGGAGAAGCTGAGAGGCAACTTTTCCCCCCTCTCTCTCTCTCTGCGCCACTTTTTATTAGAGGGCGGAAATAATTAGGCTATTTCTCCTGTCGCAAACTTCTGTATGCGGCGGCATAAAAACACGCCTGCAGTGATGTGAACTTTTCTGCGCGTCCTCGAGGTCTCGCGTGGTTTGTGGCCTGTCAGTTTGGACGGTTTGCTTTCGGAAGTCGCACTCCATCACCCTTTGCCCTATAGATCATGGGAGTTTAGAGTGGGGTGCCGCTCACGCGCACACATACACGCTGCTCGCCACGCGAGCACGCGCACCCTTGACAGACCGCGCCTTCCGTCCGCCGAAAACAGCTCTGCTGCTGCTTCCTCCTCCATGCACAGAAACCACACTTCTCCTCTCTTTGCAGATAAGACATCACCCCATGTATGTGGGTATATATTTATATAGATACATACTTTTTTTCTCTCTTTCACCTTAAAAGTGTCAACAGAATGGACTGATAATATCTGTAAAGGCAGCAGGCCCATGCTCATCTTCTGGGTGACAAAAGGCTGGATGGGCCCATGTTTTATATATTTCTGTACATCTGCATCTCAGTTTTATAGGCTATGCTTTTATTCTCCGGATGCATGTGTGGTCACGGGATTTGATAAAGCTGCTGCAACCCATGTTCTGAGATATTTTAGGTAACTTCGAGTTTGTCAGCTGATAAAACACATCAGGGATATTTGCAGTGATGCGAATAAGAGGGGAATAAGTGCTTAGTTAAAAAAAAGGAAAAGTTTAGCATGACCTCGACATATTTGTTACTGGTGTGAGGTGGCAACCTCCAACCCCTCACATATTTCTATTTCGTTTGTTTTTGCTTCTCTTTCACACCTAACAAGAATGGGTTAAATTTAAAAAGCATAAAACATGCATAACATATCCTTTCATCGCCTCTCATATTCATGATCGTGTCATGGGGATATTGCTCTAGCACAGAGGTCTTCAACAGGGGGTCCGCGACCCCTATGGGGTCCATGGAGGGATTGCATGGGGGTTGCAAAAGTTTTGGTTGATTAGATTTTTTTTATATAGCAATTTTTTCCACTAATTGAAATGTCTTTAAATCCACATTAACATTCATTCAACACACTGCAGTAAACAGATAAATGGAGGCAGAAGATGTCTTTCAGTCGTCAGTGCACACATTCAGCGGCACACAGGAGCTCTTTCAAGCTCGGCACTGTTTCATTCACAACACCTGTCCCATCAACCAGGAATCAGAATCTGAAATACTTTAATAATCCCAGGGAGGAATTACTTTTGTTACATGACTCCATCTGTAATAGAGTGACTATAGGACCAGTTTGATATTACACAATTTTATACACTATATATACAATATATCGCCTTGGCTTGGAAAATGTCGAAGACCCCTGCTCTAGGAGGTTAACCTAGACATCTATCACCAGTTCGTCAGGCTGAAAAAGTTAGAAAGCCAGTTTTAAGGATGTGGGACTCTAGCAAAGTACAATGAAAGCCATTATCCACAAAGTGAGAAAAAAGAGCCTTCAAGACTGTTAAACCAACCATAATTAATCAAAAAGTGTATTGATGATTCCTCCTAAAAAAAGGAAAAAACCAACATATAAACCGCTGATGAGCTTACTTAGGCTGATCCAAACCCAAGACCGCTGAAAAAAGGCATCTATTAGAGAAAACCACTTTTGAAGAGAACAATACATTGGCCCCTCTCACATTTTCTGACCATCATCCAGACTTTTGGTAAACAAATACATGGACTGAAGGAACAGAATTGAAAATTCATGGAAAATGTCAGAGCAAACAAAATGTTTCATCAAACCAATAGTCCAAAATTATGTTGGAAGTGTGATCCTCTGGGACTATTTTACTGTTTCACAGGCTAAATGAACAATGAGTTCAATTCTATTCAAAAAATTCTGAAATAGATTTTCTTTCTATCAGTTTGTGACCTTAAGCCAAATCACACTTGAGTTATTCAGCAGGACAACAATCTAAAACACGTACGTAAGTCCACTTCTGAATAGTAAAAGAATAAAAACATGCATTGATAAAGTCTTTTGTGTGGCCTGGTTAAAGCTTGGACATGAACCTGATTCTAATCATCTTGAATTGATACCTAACCTTAAACTGAACTTTTTTTTTTTTTTTAACCCACCAATGTGACAAAGTTTAAAGAATAACTTCATAGTTCCCCACCTTATTGACCGTGCTTAGTCCGCCCGGGAACCTGTGTGGTGTAGTGGGAAAAGGTCAGTGATCACCTGTTTTCTTCATGTGTATCCGTCTTTCTATGGTTACTCCCAAACCGTTCGCTCAGGCAGATTTACACCTACAAGGTCAAACGATGACTGAGACCATTGTATCCCTATCTCCTAAGATTGATCCCTCCTTGGGAGGGAGTAAACTCTCACAGGTTCAGAGGTGAGTATTTGGTTTTCCGTGTCAGTTCAAATTATTTTTATCTGCTTGGAAGAATTTCTACTCTAATTTTTTTTTTACTATTTGTATCATACCCTCCCTACAGGACAACAAGCAATAAAAGGTATCTAACTCTGCTTAGTTAGAAAGGGACCGATCACACGATTGGGCACTTCTTATGCTGTGACTCTGCAAAAAGCAATAAAGTGCTGTCTACTGGATGATCACTCCTCTCATTTCTTTATCCTAAGCCGTTCAATTATTTTCCTTTTACACTCACTGATGGCTGGAGGTATGGGTAAAAGCCCCACCTTTAGCCCCATCTAAGCCCGGAATTGCAGGAGGATTAATTTCAGATGGCATCTTCTATTTTCTACATGCAGTATTACATGAGTTGTTTATGTTTTCTAATGGTTTTGTTATGAGCGTTCCTGGGGAAATGACTGTGCATCTTCACAGCTGGGTTTTTGTGTGATCAGTTGGGAAAGGTTGTTATTTAATCTGGTGCTCTTGTTTGTATGTAATCCAGAAAGCTGTTGTGTTCTTGTTCTGTCAGTCTTCTTCAGGTGTAGTTTTCTGATTTGTGAAAATGAAACCCAGAAGCCTGAAATGTCCCCACTGAAAGTAAAAGGTCGGGTGTTAAGGTGGGCGTATGAAAGAAAAACGAAGTTTCAAGTACGAACAGGCAAAGCAAAATAAACTTTAGCTGTTGTACGCTGCTTTCAGTTTGGATAAATCTGGCGTTATTGGTCCTAAATATCTTTATTGTCACACATTTTTTAAGATCTTCGCAGAATTTTGTGGTTAAATCCATGGATTATTGTTCCATATGCTACCTTTATGAAATTCTTTAATTTCTCCCCATAGCTATAGCCTGTAGCTAACCGTACTCATGGTCGGTCCGTGAGCAGTAGTCTTCTTGCATCACATCGCAGCCCTGTCAGCCCTACTGCAGAGCAGGTCCCAAAATGCAGGACTGGAAAAAAACATGTGAAGGAAAATCCGGCGAAGCGGTCTGAGCCGGTTAGAGCTGACCGAAGTGTTGGCAGTGGAAAAGTGGCAAAATACTGATCGCCTAATGCAGTACGTTTCAAGCTAAAAAGTTACTAAACTTACATTATTTAAACGTTTAAGTCAGGAGACTTGACCAAAGTGCTTTAAACTACATTCACACACACACTCACACTGATAGTGGGGCTCACTAACAGAGGCAAGTGCCGTACACTGGCGCCACCGGCCCTCTGACCACAATCAATAGATGTTGCAGTTGCCCAAGGACACAACACTGAAAGCCAGAGCCGGGGCTTGAACCAGGGCAACTCCTGCACCCAACAGCACTGTCGCCCTGAACAAGCAACTCCTAATAACATTTCTGAACTTATGATAAGTTGTGAACCTGTGACCTGAATTATCAGTTTTTAAGCTTTTTGATTAGATGAATTTGTGAGAATTGAAACTATACATAACCTTTCTGTGGAGATTGGCAGGTTCCCCATTTCTTTAAAATAATAAAAACCGAGAACTCCTGCACTGACATTACCACCCCCCATTGGACCTGAGTGTCCTGCGAATGTGTGGCCTGGAAATATCCCAACAGTTTGTGATACCAATACCTAGTAACTCCCATTAGATACAGGTACATGTATATAAGAATCACATGGTAGAAATAATTTGAACCAACCTTTATATGAACTGCAGGTTTATTCTCTTTAATGTGATTTTAGAGATCACCATGCTCCCCCCTTATGGTAATTGCAGCACTTTGTGACTCACATTTCCTTCTGCAGGGCTGAAACGGAAATAAGAAAGGGGAGAAGAGTCACTTCTGTATTTCTAACTTTCTACACAGAAGTGTGCCGAAGCAGTGGGGTGAAGAATCCGTGGTTCAACTTGGAGATTGCAGGGATGTTTTTAAAAAATGCACACTTGCGTTTAATTTTTAGGTGCCTTTAGTTGTTTTTTTTTAAGTATTGAGTGTTACTTGGCACCTTAGAGCTACCGTAGATATTTATTTTTTTGGGGTAATGATTTATATGGGCTGTAAATGATTTGTTTGGTGAAATGGAAAAGAACACACTACTAAAACAGGGGAGTTTATAAATCTGCCTAGCATGAGGGTTAAAAAAATGCAAACATCACCAATTATTCATCATTAACTTTATCAACTGCTGA